CCAATAAAAATAAAAATATATAGATTTATTCATCTAAGCTCTTAAAAGTCATCTAACAGCATTAAGATGATTTATTATAAACTAGGGGCCCAGTGTATGAATTCGTGTACCTTGAAAGAAGCTGTGGGCCATGAGGCTGCGGTGGGTACAGGGGTGGGTCTTGGCCCATCCTCTGCGCCCCCACCTGGCCCCTCCCACCACAGCCCCTGGTCCCCTGTCTTCTGGCAGCCCCACTCCCGCCACTGCTGCTCCCATGCGCTGATGGCGCCGGCCCTGCTTGCACCCGCTGATGGTGCGGAGCAATTGGGGCCAGCACAGTCAGTGGGTGCAAGCAGCGGCTGCTGCCCCAATCACCCCTCAGGAGCAGGGGGAAGCCCCTCAGGAGCAGGGGGAGGTGGAGAAGCCCTGAGGGGTGATCGGGGCCAGCAGCCGCTGCTTGCACCTGCTGATGGCACCAAGCGATTGGGGCTGGCACCAGGTGCCAGTAGCAGGTGTGAGTGGCAGCTCTGGCACTGACAGCGGGTGCAAGCGCTCAATGGGACTGCAGTGTGCGGGAGCAAAGAATTTTTAGTAACCACCAGAGGCTCACCCCAATGACAGTGACTGGTGCCCGCCTTGGTCTGGCGCCCCCGCTCACCTGCTCCACCATCCCTCCATGGCCTATGCCAGTCATGTTCCATGCTCTGTCGCCTGCTGCCAACACCCGCCATGTTCCACGTGCACCCCTGGTGGTCAGTGCATGTCATAGCAACCAGTTGTTTGGTTGTTCTGCCTTTCGGTCTATTTGCATAATAGGGTTTTATATATATAGATAGCCTGAAAAAGACTCATTATTTTTCAAAATGACATCTTAAAGAGAAATTTCTCCAAAATATGTTCTAAGAAACTAGGGGGAGAGATACATATGTTAAAATATAATTGAGACAACAATCTAATATCTACATTAGATCATGACTTTGAAATAACATCCCAATACTTAATATCAGAAATCATTGATTTTTAAAAAATGTATTAGAGAGAGAGGAAAAGAGAGAGAAGCTTGATTTGTTGTTCCACTTATTTATGCCTTCATTGGTTGACTCCTGCGTGTGCCCAACTAGGGATCTAACCTGCAACCATGGTATATCAGGACAATGCCCCAGCCAGCTGAGCTATCCAGTCAGGGCAGTAATCATTGATTTTTTAAAATCTGTCCTCTCAGGCCTCATGGTTTATACCTTTGATAATAGTTGCTCATTTTTTTTAGTGTTTACTAAGCCCAAGATCCCATTATAAGCACCAGATTCCAATATGAGAATGACTTGAGTGAATTACATTCTGATAAAACCCTGTAATGATTTGATGCCACTTTTCCCATATAAAAATATAATACATTTTGTGCTGCAGAGTATCTTTTTAAACGAAGTTTATACTTTAAAATATGAAAAATAAGTTGATAAAGTATGTCTTAAAAACATCTATGAGAAAAGAGTTAATAATAATATAGATAGCGGTTAAATGATAATGTTTTCCTTACTACAAATAATTGTCTCTTACAATTTTTATTTTAAAAATATGATAAACTGTCTTGTTCAAATAGTTACCATTATCTAAATATAATCCATTGACACTGTAACCGGTTTGGCTCAGTGGATAGAGTGTCGGCCTGCGGAATGAAAGGTCCTAGGTTTAATTCTGGTCAAGGGCATGTACCTTGGTGTGGGCACATCCCCAGTAGGGGATGTGCAGGAGGCAGCTGATCGATGTTTCTCTCTCATCAATGTTTCTAACTCTCTATCCCTCTCCCTTCCTCTCTGTAAAAAATCAATAAAATATATTTAAAATATATATATATATTTTTTAAATATAATCCATTGAATAAGTATATTATTTTAATCTTCAGCACATTTCCTTCCTGAGCTTTATAACAAAAAAAAATTCATAGTTGTGACTAATCTCTTATCTGATTGAGAAATCACTATTGATCACCTATTAATTGCTAGGAATTCTATTGACTCTTGGGAATTCAAAAATGTACCCAATGTGGCATTTACTCTCCTGGGGTTCATTCTAATTAGCAATAATAAAAGTATTGCAATAAATTCTATAAATGGAGCACATACAACCAACAGAGACACATGAGGAAGTCCTTAATTTTACCTGAGAAGGTTGTAAAAGTGTCCATGGAAGGGTGAAGGTGATATGTTAACTCAAGTAGGAGCACTAGAAGATAGAAGAAAAGAAAATGCCCACCAAAAGAAATAGACTGTGGAAAGGGGGAAGCTAGAAATTTGTCAGCTGGTCTCTGACATTACAAAATCCTTAACTACCATAACACTTTCTAACTAAAAATCAGATCTAGCCAGCTTTTTTACTTAGTCACTTATTTCCAAACATCTGTAATTCAACTCCATCAACCCATTTAATGCCTTTTTCTCCTAATCCATCAGTCTTCCATGCCTTAATTTCTTTGCAAATAAATTAAACTCTCAGAAATGTTTCATATCTTCAGTGTTTCAATGTAAACATTTTTGATTAGTTTACTGTATTTTAGAAATTTGACTACTGACGGTATTATAATCTACTAGAGGATTCGTGAACTGGTGGGGTCCCTCACACCAGTGCATGATCAGGGCTGGGGAGGGGCCATGGGAGGGCTCCAGGGTGTGTCCGACCTGTCTTGCCCAGTCCTGATAGGCCAGACCCCAGCAACAAGCTAACCTACCAGTGGAAAGTATCTACTCCCTGGTGGTCAGTGTGCATCATAGCGACTGGTCGAACGGTTGAACAGAGGGTCAGACACTTATCATATTAGGCTTTTATTATATAGGATATTTCATAAGTCTGATTTTATAAATTTTATTTTTATTGATATTATAGTCCTTATGGTTGGTTAATTTCATCTTACAATTGCATATGATACATAAATATAAATGAGTTTTACATGTTGTTTCAGGTTGAGATCCCTAGGAATCACACTCCCAAGATTATCATATAGGACATATATTAGGGATTATTAGGGAATGCTCTAAGGACCTACACCCAAAAAAGAGGATGGAGGCAAGCATTGGTAGAGAAAGAAGTTAAGTTGTGATGCAGACTCAACACAAACCGCAGTCAATCCCATCGTGAGCGCTGAAAATGGGATGGCTCTTCCAAGTTGTCCTGAGTTGGGGGAAGACGGCAGAGCTGTCCTCTTCGGATGTAAGCTGCTTCCAGGAAGGGGCCTGGCAATGGATGAGGTGGCTTTCAAATGAAGTAAATTCCCAGAGATGTCTGCTAGCTGGAGTTCTTAGCCAGTTGCACTCCAGCAATGGGTGCAGTAACTCCTTCAATCTGTTGACTACAATGTAAGCCTTGTGCCTCCCACTCAGATGCACATCTTCCTATAAATGTAGGTAGCAGCTTCTCCAAGATTCTGGTGAACTGGTTTTTGGGGACAAAATTAAGAGGAAGGTAAGTGGGACAGATTGATGGTCCACCAAGGAAGCTGGACTTGAGGCCATAGCAAATATTTACCTCTTTCTTCTAGAATCTCACCTAGAGTCTCCTCGCCTTCAGCTGAACCTCTGCAGTCTCAGTGGCTCGCCTGGTGGCATGATCCAGACCTTCACCCACCCCTGGGCTCTGAGCCTTCAGTCATCGAGCTCTTTGCAAGTATTTAAATAACAACTTCTAAGTCAGTAAAATATTGGTTTATTAAGAAATTGGGAGGCTGTCGTGGGAGTTGAGTGTATACATGTAAGGTTTAAAACTAAAAACAATACTGGAAAAATGTGATATAAACATATACTTTCAAACTGTAGAGAAAAAATACGAGCAGCTGCATAGCATAATACTCTCCACGTCCCTCCATACTGAGCAAAATATGCCTTCAGAGAAAGGCAGTATCACATGATCCCACTCATGTGGAATCTAATGAACAAAATAAACTGAAGAACAAAATAGATCCAGAGACATGGAAGCATGGAACAGACTGATGAATCTCAGAGGGAAATTGAGGGAGAGGGGAGAGATTAACCGGGGAACTTATACGCATATATGCATAGCCTATAGGCACAGACAAAAGTGTGGTGAAGGCCTGGGAGGGGTAGTGAGGGGTGGAGGTGGTCAATGGGAAAAAAGTGTGGGGGGGGGTGACATCTGTAATACTTTCAACAATAAAGATAAACTTTTTAAAAATAAAAATAAATAGCCCTAACCGGTTTGTCTCAGTGGATAGAGCATCAGCCTGTGGACTCAAGGGTCCCAAGTTCGATTCCGGTCAAGGGCATGTACCTTGGTTGTGGGCACATCCCCAGTGGGGAGTGTGCAGGAGGCAGCTGATCAATGTTTCTCTCTCATCGATGTTTCTAACTCTCTATCCCTCTCCCTTCCTCTCTGTAAAAAATCAATAAAATATATTTTAAAAAAATAAATAAATAAAAATAAATAGAGCAGCTGCAACATTTGAATGTTGCTACTGAAGGTCAGAAGGTAGGGAAGAAGGGAATGGTGGGGTGGAGGACTGCACTATAAACTTCAAGCATAATTGTGTTTTTAAATGATGTGCTCATATTCCCCTGATAAAAGTAGAACTAAAATAAAAAGTAGTAGACTTTTATAAAAACGACTGGTCCTCATAATACAAGAACATTTACAAAGAAGCTGTAACTATGACTACAGAATAACAGAAGTGAAAACATTGAGTTTAAAAATTTACATGCCAAGTATACCTATACAAGTCTGAAACTAGCCGGGGCCATATATTTCATTACTGTGACAAAACTATAAAGCAAGCAAAACTACATAATTAACACACAAATGTGGGGATGGTCCCTTTAATCAGTGTCTAATTCTATGATGATTTGGAAATGTGCTAATTAATTTTGCTCTGGCATCTAAACACCAGTATTATGGAACTCTATGTAAATTTAACTGAATGCCCATACAAAAGATATTAGCATTATCTCTACAATTATAAAATCATTTTTGAACAATAATGAAGCACCCCATTTCAGTATTTTATCTCAATTTTTATTTCGAAACTTCAGTGAAACAACATGGTATCACAGTTTTGAAATATTTTAATCTCACTATAATTTAACATTTTAAAAAATCTAGTAATTTTTGATTTCAAACAATAAAATTTATAAAAATAATTTTACATTTATAAAATGAATCATTATTTCACAATAAATTATTCCATCTTATTACATGAAAAAAGTATTGTGCTATATAAAAGGAATAACTTTATCAATATTTTGAAAATATCAGTTCCTCTCATCAAGCACTGTTGGCAGTTAAGTATACAAAAATATATTACAAAGTCCCTGACCACAGTTATTAAAACAAAATTGTTGGCAATAATTTGTAAAACATAACTGTTTAGTAAATACATGCAGATAAGTTAAAGGGTTTACTAATATGACTTTGTTTTATATTTTAAAGTTTTTTAATATATTCTAAGAGAACAACACAAAAAAGTAAGCAGAAATCTACAAATAATATCTGTATTTATAAAAATCAAAAACATTCTTATTTATCACATAGAGATACCAAAGTAAATATTTAAGCAGTGTAAGAAAACTTTCTTCTTCTCTTTCTCTCTCTCTAAGATTTCCCAGTGACATGAAGGTACCAGCTCTTGAAAGAATTTATTGATTCTATTTAACCAATGATAGCTTCTAAGGAATCATTTTCTATTTTAAGAGTTCAATTTCACTTTAAGAGCCAATGGGTTAGTTAACATTGTTATTTGTAGGGTAACTGGGGGTTACACCATCATAAGCTTAGAAACTTTCAAAGGTCCTGAAATTATCATGTAAGTCAGTTTCTTTCAGCTTGGGATACTTCTTTGTATCATTGATAATTATTCAAATGTTTGTTGCCTGCTTCAGACAGAGAGAGGAGGCTGGGGAGAGAGAGAGAAAGGTCATGGGTTTACAGACAACCCATCATTCATTGTTTTTCAAGAAGCTCCAGCTTTAGATGATATCAAATAGTTTAGGGCGCCAATGAACTGTGCTTCTCGGTCCAGAGTTAGGCATTCAGTATATCCCTGGGTTGCTGGATTGTTGAAAACCTGATAAATTAGTCATTTTGCTTCTGTTTTCGCGATAACCTATCTGGTGTATCTTTTATTTTCTTTAATTTATTTAAAATATTATTTTAGGGGTAAGACTTTTATTCAAAGTACAAAAGTGGTTTCTTATCAAGCTGCCAAAATTTGGCACTCACTGCTTGCATGTAAATGTGTTATAGGTAACATGACTGATAGTATTCCATCAATAGTCAATTACATATATTTAAAAACCACAGCAAGAAACTCACATTTTTCATCCCACACCAAAGATTTATTCTCATGAAAGTCAACCAGACCCTGGCTTAAATGAAGCTCTCCTACTCTCCAGGTTTATGAATGTTGGTTACATTATTTAATCCCCAGGCTAAAGGTTTCTTTATAACTGAAAGATAATAAAACCTCTTTTTCAGGGTTGTTGTGAGGACTAAATGAGGCAACACGTGTGTCAAAGGTGGATGGTTAATTTGTCTCCCAATATTAGTCTCCCCGAGTTGTAGTTTTGGTTGGCATAAGGCTTTCTTCCTCCTCTCCCAGTCTCCCTGGGGATTGGATGAGGGTATGTGCCAAGTCCTAGTCAATGGATGACGACTTCCGGATATTGTTTAGGATGGAGAAATAAATGCCTCTCTTGGTGGAGCCACTGTTTTAGGGATTTCTTTTTTATAGTTTAACCTGTAACCTATCTGCACAAACTAACACCTTTTATCTTAACATACATCTTCAAAAACAGTCAGATCTGAAAGAATACACAGTCATCCTTGGAATGGCTATTTATATTTTTCTAAACTGAAAATAGGTATATTTAACTGTGGCCCAAAGACACTTCTTAGCCACAGGATGTCCATGAGGAATTGTTCTTCAAAGAACTATGCCCGATTTTACAGTAACTGCTTTATTGTTTTCTAATTTGCAAGTTTAAAATTTATTATTTATTAAAAACTTGGTTCAATGTATATTCATCTGGGATTTGATATAATAATATTCTCAGTCAAAAAAGAACACTTAGTTCTGCATAACATCACACCCTAAAGCAATTATTTACAGATTTAAATTAATATGAAGGCAACAAATAGAAATGGTACATAAGATTCAATGGCTTAAGGCCCGGTGCTACGGGAGCTGGGAAAACCATATGGTATAAATGTATGGAAACTCAGATATACAATGGTTGCAACTGAAGGTTTCAGACAATAGCAAAAACAAACAAAATGAGTATAAAAACAAGAAAATAGGTTACCATCTTACAACAGCACCATGAAGAAGCCTTGGCTAAGAGTTTGCCAAAAGCATATCCTGAGATTTTCAAGACTGGTAATTTTTCACATTGAAGCAGTGCTGTTCAGAAGTAAACATATCCTTACAATGGCTTTTGTTTGGAGAGAGGCTGGTGTGAAATGACTGAAGCTTGGTTTGCGGCAATTTTGTATTGTTCTTGTCCAGAGCCTTGTGGTGGGGAAGGGAGTGGGGTTTCAGGAGTTGCTAAAAAAGAATCAGAGAATTGTATGTGATGGCCACAGTCACCCTGACCCATCATCCCATTAAGCCCTGCATGACACCAATACACACTGTTTTACTTTTCGTGTGTTTTTAAAGATCACACATAAAGTAGTGCTTTATATAACACTAGAGGCCCGATGCACGGAAATTCGTGCAAGAGTAGGCCTTCCTTCCCCGGGCTGCCAGCACTGGCTTCCCTCCAGCACCCGGGAACCGGCTTCCCTCCTCCGGCCGCCAGCAGGCACCCGGGACCCGGGCTGGCTTCCCTCTGGCCCCAGCTTCATCAGGAAGGACATCCGGAAGACGTCCAGTCTAATTAGCATAATGCCCTTTTATTACTATAGATTATCAGCTCACTGACATACCACTGAAGGTGCTCCTCTACCCTACACCTCACCAAATAGATTTCTATTGGACCAGATCATTCTTGAAAACCTTAAAGAATCCTTTTAAGGTGTGGTCTGTCTTTCTTAATAGCATTTGTGAGCATCTGATTCTCCCACACACCCAGCAGAAAAAAGTTAATGAAAAGAACGAACAGAATGCTAGTGTTTTTTTCAAATCTTAGATCTCAAGTGTTATAATTTTGTAATAAAAGTGCACATGAAATAAAATATGTTTGATTTGGCTTCCACTAATTCGACCTCATTAGATGACATTTTAAAATGAAGATACTTTTCAAGTGCTTTGAAATCTATGTTGTAGTTAAAGGCATCTGAAAAATACTGGCTTTGTCACATCAAGATTATTCTATTATAATTGCTCTTGTTTGTCACTGCCCCTGTCAATGCAAAGAGCAAACCTAGTTATTTCACGGTTTAGAATAGTGTTTCCTTCCACTGCAAACTTTTTTCATATTATAAAATAATCTAGGAGCTATTCTGTAATTTTTAAAAACTCAAAAGTACTTTAGTACTCATTATTATTTCATATATTCAACAGTGTAGAAAATATTTGATGATCAGACTGAAGCATTGCAAACTTTATAGATTTTTTTTCTCCAAAACAGTTACTTAAAATTTTGAAAAAAATTCTATACAAATACGAGGACAGACTCTTTTTGCTTGGTTATCTTTACTATAATAACTTTGGTATTATTAACTATGGATTAGCAATTACTTAGGAACAACAGTTTGAGATCGTTTAATTGACAAAAGAATAAACAAACTGCCTTACAAATTTATTTTGGGATTCTTAGGGTGGATCTGAAACTGCAGAGGCCTGCTCTAAAACACCAAGAAAATATGCACAAATTAAGTTTTCCTGTGTTTATGTACATGTTTTGTTTTGGATTAAAACTATTCTAAATGAGCACAAGCAAAGCAAAGCTTTCCTTTAAATGAGTCTTATAAATATTGTCAAAAGAGGGGAAAAAATGAAAAAATGTGATGATGAGATTCTAAAAATATTAGAGGCAACAGCATGCTTTCAAACTATTAGAAAACTGGCAATTAAAAAGTAAAGAATTCAACCGCCAGCAGAATTGTTCAACCTTCTCGCCAGCTGATGCCTATAATGCTTAATGTGTTGTTAATGTTCTAAGTTTATGAATAACTGAACTTGGAGAGACACAACTCCGAGTATTTTGGTGTGATACTGAGCTTGCCTCTCTTGGCTCTTGACCACCTGTGACATGAAAATGGTAACATCTGCTTTGCAAGGATGGTCCCCAAATTATCACTTCCAAGTACACTGGGACCCGCAGGTTAACTGTACTACCCTATCTCCAAAAATGGTACTTTTTCTAACAATTTCATTTCCGCCTCTGTCATATACTCAAAGAACTTCTGTTTTAGACACAATTACATAGGTCTACCAATGCTTGTATACTACAGGGGAGATGTGAGAACACACATTTTTGTGGCCTCTACTTTTCTGGCCACTAGGCAGCAGTCGGGTGGTGCTCACTGAGTTGTTACATTTCCTTGAACACTGAGGTAAAACAGCATTATAACGAGATATGAGCGGCTGCTGCCAATTCAGCGGGTCATACAGGTATGCATGACCATGGCATCACCGTAACTCAAGGCATCTCAGTGAGGTAGCTGGCTTAGTGCTCACAGGCGATGGATCACAGGTAAATCTGGGATAATTACTATCAATTCAGTGGTAACTCTTGATATTTGGTCAAATAGGGATTATTATCTCCAGGATAGCTTATAGAAACAGAATCGTGTTAAATCTGCAATGATATCAGATTAAGTGAGCCACTCACAATCCTTAGTATTTATATAGTTATTTTCGTTTCAAAGTGTTTGCCCAAGCAGCCCTCACTGTGCACAATTCTGATATGCACGAATCTCAGTCAGCACAGCTAATGGCACCAGTCCTGCAGAAAGCATGGCCAAGTGTCATTAGCCTGGTAACTCCCAATTAATTGTGAGTACCGCATAACCAGGAACTTCACTGCTAATGTGTCTCCAGTAATCACCTAAGTAACAGAAGTCCTGTCATCAGTGACCTAGGGCATCACGCCTTTCGTTCTGTCCGTATTTCCGTATTTTGTTCACATTGGCACATATTTTATTCAATTCACACACTGACAACAGAGTGAGCACTGGAGTTCCCTCCGTGTCTCCCAGTGATAAATCCACGTGACATTTTGCAAAAATAGACAACTGAAAGAGAATTGGCTAAAAAAAACTCCACACATACAACAGGACTCAAGTGCAGCAAAGAAACAAAAAGTGATAATCATAGAATCAAAATTCCAATTGCACGTGAGCGGAGTGACAGAAGATAGCTGACCATGGGAATGCGGGCAGGACTGCTGTTTGAGACCCTAAATGTGCTTCTAGGACCTTAGTGAAAGACACTCATCAGCGTTCAGCATAAGTGAGGGGGCTGGTTGTGTTGGAAAGGACAACGATGCCCCAGGGGAAATGAAACTGGCAAAAAAACTTCACATCAAATGGATTCTCAGACATATTTCAGGACATGTAAAATGCAAAGGGTTCAGCACAGGAAACATAGTCAGTAACATTATTATAACTTTGTATGGTGCCAGGTGGGGACTGAAAACATCAGGGGGAACACTTTGTAAAGTATATGATTGTCCAACCACTATGCTGCACACCTGGAACTAATGTAAAATAATATTAAATATAAACTGTAATTTTAAAAAAATAATAAAAGGAGGGGGAAAAAAGAAAATGCAAAGGATAAAATGTTAGAAGCTGATCCAAACTTCAAAAGAGTAACATTCATTAAAGCACAGAAAAATCCTCACTTGCTCTTACAAGTTGCAGCAGGAGGAAGCAAAAATACTGTATAAACTATGCTTCTTAAAATTTTTACAAAGAAGTAAAACTTTAATTTTCAGTGTTTCTAATGTTTTACATTACGGTGCACAAAATAAATATTAGGATTACTATATTTTTCAACTTCCCTATATTTATTTTTTTTAATTTACTTTGTTTTCCAAACTTCCCTATATTTTTCTAACATTTAGTTAAAAGGGTTCTTAATGTTTTAACAGATATTTTTGTTCATTTGTAACTGAGGTATAATTGACTTATAACATGATATGACAGACATTTTTAAAGCTCACAAGTAACCATAATTTTCCAGTGATTATTCGGGTTTCTATGCATGGCCCCAGCCTGCGTAATTATTTCTATAAGCCTGCAGACCAGCAGAGCTGGGACTGCCCCTATATTCTTTTCTGCTCCCAAACCCATGAAGTAGAAAGATTGAGGTACTGTATCTCCATTTTAGGGAGCAAACTCATGCCTAGAGAAGACGTGACTTACTGAATGTCACAGTCTCCCACAGTGGAGCCCTGGAGAGGATAACACCGAAATCCTGCAGTTCTGGGTACTCATAGATTCTTTCCCCCAATTCCTCTTTTTCTCAAGTAATTAAGTTTAGGACAATTTATGGTTGAAAAGAAGCCCACATACTTACAGATCTGGTCTGGATGAACCAGTGTTGACATGGGGCCTAAAAGTATGGTTTGTCCAGTTAATGGGTCCTGAGACAAATGTGGATGCATCGGATGATGGAGATGGCTGCCGTCATTGGAAGCACCTACAGAAGATAAAAAGATGGTGATATTTAATCAGAAATGGCGAGTTTACCTTGGAACAAATCTTTTGATTGACAACTTGAATATTGCTATTTTTGCAAAGTGCTTTTGGGGAGTTCAAAAATAAATTAATAGAACCACTGCTGTATTAAGGACAATGTCAGCTTTCACTGTACACTGGCTAGATGAATGCTGTATCATATTATGTTGTCTATTAATAATGGACCTTGTATGCTGTTTCCTGGAATCATTAGGGTGGCTGCCTGTTGTTAAGGCAATTCCAAGAATCACTTACCTCAAGTTTATAGTATTTGGGGTCGCCCTAATAGCATAAACAACTTTTATTTCAGGAAGACATCATTAGGGACACATTAAGCAGCAGAAAACTAAAAATAAAATAAAGCGATGTTATCAGGAAATTTAATCTAGATCAAAATGCTTTCCTAACTTTCCTAACTATTCCTGGCATTTATTGCAGTAATGAAATCTCATTTTTCCCTTCTCATTGTCTTGTGTCAATTAATTATTTCAGAAGCAAAGTGTTCATATATATAGGGTGTCCAAAAATTCACGCAAGATTTGAATTTTGCGTGAGCATTAACAACAACAACAACAAATAAAAGCCTAATTTTACTTGGTTTATTGAATCAGGTTCTAATATCTGTTGCCCTTTGATTTCAATCCCTTCAATTTGATAAGCATTAGCAAGTACCAATTATGGCCCAGGAGCAGGGACAATGAAGACCAATGAAGACCACGGCTTTGCGTATGTGCCAGCAAAGCCATGGAGGCCATTTACCCGATGTGCTATTCCATACATAACCCTATACTGTATACTTTATGAATCAATAAAAAATTTACAATTTTTAATTATAAACTTGTGCTTTCTATCAAAATTACTTCTTGCGTGAATTTTGGGACTATATATATATATATATATATATATATATATATACACACACACATACACATATATATATACATACACACACACACATACACATATATGTGTATATATATGCATATACACATATTTTGGGTTAGTTTGCAATTCTGATATCTTTGAGTTTTTAAAGGAGTAAAGGCATAGAAAAATACAATGATACTTCAAGGACTATTACAAATAGGAAATATAGTTCCATTCACCACATTTGAAGGACCTGAAATTTGAGGTTATTGGGATCATGAGGAGTTAGATCAGCTGTGGGCAAACTATGGCCCGCGGGCCAAATCTGGCCCATTTGAAATGAATAAAACTAAAAAAAAAAAAGACCGTACCCTATATGTAATGATGTTTACTTTGAATTTAGATTAGTTCACACAAACACTCCATCCATGCTTTTGTTCTGGCCCTCCGGTCCAGTTTAAGAACCCATTGTGGCCCTCGAGTCAAAAAGTTTGCCCACCCCTGAGTTAGATGGTGGAGGCTAGTAAGAATGGGGATTTCATTGTGTTCATGTATTTTGTCCCCACCCAATGAGTACTGCAGGCTTTCTAAATGTAAAAAAAAATTGAGTTCATTCTGTCACAAACAGAAAATAAAAGGGACAAACTTATTCGAAGTACAAGGTGGGATGCGAACAAGTAAAAGAGACTCACCGCCCAGCAGCATCTCCTGGAGCAGGTTGTCGATCTTCACCATCCCGAAGAGCTTCACGAACTGGATCTGCTCGATCATCTGCCAGGTGATGCTCTGCAGCGTGGGCAGCAGCAGGAGCAGCTCCCCAAACCGCCCGCGGGAGTCGTACTGCCGGTCGTTGATATAGTCCTCCAGGCTCAGCTGTACCTGGAACCGCATGTTCTTAATCTTCATGGGGTCACTGAGCCCTTTTGCATCTGGTAAAGGAACAGAGAGGGCAGCCTGAAGATTGGATCTTAACAACGTGCGACGACAAATGTTCCAATATTAAAAAGTAGTCTTATCTTCATTATAATTATTGTTTAACGGGTCTTTGGGAACAAACCTGGATCAAAAAATACAATGGCCTTCAAACAAGCGTACTCATTGTCATCGATCTGGATTTCCTGAAACGGCCGGACCAGCTCGTCTAGGACCCGGTTGGCCACGCGGCTGATCTCGACCTCACAGCTGTTGCGCTGAATAATGTAGTTGTTTCCTGGGGGGAAAAATAATAAAGTCATCCTGCCCCCAAATTATCAGATACTGCTTAAATTTTTACAAAGCAATATTTTAAATGGCCTTCCCTTGCATTAATAATAATAGTACTTCAATTCTCAGTAGTGTTACGTTAGAAAAACTTAAGAACACTTAAAGGATCAATAACATTGATAATATGATCACATGCATTTTAATAGCCTCAGTCACTGTTGATAACACTAAAGTACAGGCTAATAAACAAGCTAATAATTGACAAGAGAGAAGCAAAGTATAATGATTAGCTTTCCGCTATGTCAGTTTTCTACCAGTGTCTTACTCATTAATCAGCTTAATTCAAAGCCCAAAGAATCTTTCTGGCTTAGAGTGGATTAAAAACACCATCCTCTAGTGGGGTTGGTATATGTAGGTATGACTACGATTGAGACACTTTTTAACAAACCTAAGTAGATATGTTTTATTCCAATAGATAATGAGAAAGGTACTGTAGGGTCCTCTAAATGCAACAGAGCATTTAATAGAATTTGACAGTATGGTCTCTACAGTCACATTATGTGGTTTAGAATCCTGGCTCTATCCCTCACTAACCTTGAAACCTCAGCTTAACTTTCTCCACCTGAAAAATGGTACCTATCCCTTAGGGTTATTGTGAGGATTAAATGAGATAGTGCTGATCTACATATCAAAAAGTACGTACAGCAATGCATATGAAATAGTAAGTGCTTGATAAATATTAAATATTATTATATTACATTCAATTTATTCATGTTTGGGGACAAAAATATTTATCACATAAATAGAATAAACAATTTAGTAATCATTTCATACTAGCCAGGAAAAGGTAAAGCTAATAAGCATGAGAGAGATCTTAACTCTTTCTATAGGAAATCTATGTAAGTTAAGTAGGGTGAGAGGTTGGAGATTTCATGAGGACAAAAGCTTTTCCTTTGTGTCATATCTTCTCCACTCACCTTCCCTTCCACCCGCCTCCCTACTTCTGCTTCTTCTGGCACTGTTATTGAATCATCAGAAATTTTCAGACACTGTCACCAAATTATTTTTAACTTGGGATGTTGCACATATCATGGGCAATGATATCATAGGAGATACACATGCTCATTAAAAATGTACCCAATAGCATATATTACAATTACCTATATTATAGTTACTAAGTAGACACAGAAGAATGGGAAACAACACTGAGACTCCCTAAGATGGTTGCACAAATCATTAATTCTTTGTCCTGATGATTTAATTAGACTCAAGAGTCTGTTCATTGAGCAACAGCTTTCTTTACTTTTCATCTTAATACACCCTGAACGCACGCTGAACTTCCCTGAAATCAAGCAGGAAAAACGGGACCCGGTGAGGATATCAAATAGACCCAGTCTGCGAAACGGGAGCGCCATCTGTCAGTGTCTCAGAACGCTCGGGACACACAGAATAGATCCTGTGTAAGAATGAAGCAGGCAGATTTTTTTCTTAAATTAAAAAAAAACAACAACAACTTACCCAAAAGCAAAATATCTTTATATATCATGGATCTCTTTGTAGCTCCGAGCAGTAAATGCTCCCCTGCATGAGCTCTCAGCAGGGCCACCTTAAAGAAAAATTCCAAGTTGAACAATTAATGATAAAATATGATGATTAACAGATGGTATCACATGAGTTCTTTAAGCCTAAGACTTTTTTTTATTTATTTAACAAACTATAATATTCATAGTTGCCATCAGTAAGCCTTCTATTTTTCTACTTGAGAATATCATAAAGTTTAACTTTTCAAAATTTCTAAAACTAATGAGTCAATGTAAGCAAACACACAAACAAACAAAAAGACTCAACAGAACAACTAAGTGTTCTGGAATGAAGTAAAATCAAACCAAGCAGTGTTCAAATTCTGGCTTGGCCACGTACTACCTGTTTGATCTTGGGTAAACCAACCATTTATGGTTAGGACTCATTTGTTTTCATCTACCCAGTAGAAATAGTGAATAAAATTTCAAATTCTAGACATGAGGATTACATGAGAAAATACATGTAAAACACAATCTCTTACACATAATAAACTGAAAAGACAAGAGCGAAGTGAGGGCCTGTGACATGGTGAAATGAGAATGGTGAGTCGGACTGCTAACACACTCAAGACTGAACCCATAATTCCTTGCACTAAGCTCTGAACTGAGTTTCATGCATATACTTCATTGCCTACTGAATATCACCACTAGAGATAACAGGAAGCGTTCCTAATTTAACACTTCAAAGTAATGCTTCTCCAACTTCTTCATCCGTGTCCAACAAGCTTGTTCATGACAAAAACAGGACTCCAGTTTGATTCTTCTCTAATGGCCCAGCAAATCCTATACCACCCAGGCCAAAGCCTTTGCTTTTCTTGCCCTGGCCTTCACAATATACTCCAAGAACCTAAAAGGTATTCTTGCTTCCTTCCTGGTTCCTCCATCCTAAGTTCCTCCATTTTAAGTCCTTCTTGACAGAGCTACCAAGATGAGATTTGTAAAATAATCATCACTTAATATCACTCCTCTGCTGAAAACCCCTCACTGGTTTCTTATTGTCCTTAGAATATCATCCAAACTGCTTGACCAAGGCCGCACAGGTTATAGCTCAATGCTTTGTCCCCATGCACCCTGCAACATCTCTGCCTCCCTCAGAGTCTGCGAAGATACTCTTTCTGTACCCGGAATGCTGTCTTTCTCCTTGATCTTGGTATGACTGGCTTCTTGTCATCCGGGTCTCAGGAAAAATCTTCTCTGATCCCCAATTTAAAGTATCTGTTACCACTTGACCCCCAGTCATTGTCCAACAATTCATCCCATCTCATTTTATAGGATTTATCCCCACCTAGAATCAACTTACTCATAATCTGTATATCTTTTATTGTCTGTCTCTCCCAAATAGAAAGTAAACTTTATGAGAAAAATGATGCAATCTGAATTTTTACTTGCTGAATGCTCACAGTTCCTAAAACTGAACCCTAGTCCTAATACATGCGTTTGGGTGAATTTACTGAGTGAATTGATAGAGAATTCAGTTTTGAAAACTGTTAAGTGGAAGTTATAAAACTTATGACACAGAGCTCCTGAGAGCATTAAGTACAAGAATCTAATGTATAAGGCAACTGAAAGCTAATTCCCCAGTGTCTTATCCACAACAGACATTGGCAAGCCATGGCTATTAATGCTATATTGTTAATATTAAAGTCTGAGCTTGTAAAGAAAAATTGTTTTCTGACAGGTTACTGGAATTCAATTTCCCAACTTTTTTAATCACTATCTTCATATGTAAGTCAGCAACTTTGAAAGAGGAGTGATAGTAAACATATAAAACTGATAAATAACATAACCCTACTTATATGGCTTGGGGTGAGACAAGGAGGTTTTAGCAATTTAGCATTATTCACCGTGAAACAACCTTCCGAGCCAAGCTATCTTTATGATATGTCAATAACCATGACTCATAACAGGAAGGTAGTTACAGAACATTTTGAGAATGATTTCAGATTTCACAAGATTTTTTTTTTTTTTCGTCACCAAGCGTAACGCTCTCCTAGAAATGTAACTAAACTTCCTATGATTACTTTTTTTCTGGTTGTATAAATATTTTGTCCTTTGAATTTTAAACAATTGCACCTTTCCCTTTTATTGTTTTTGTTTTTGTGTGTCCGTGATAAAGAACACTGGTCAGAGAATGTAAGATATACACGAGATAAACTACATATCCTGGTTTATTCAATGTGCAGGAATTGGAAATTTTCAAATTCTTTGCATCTACAAGATATTATATACTGCTTAGATGGAAGAGTTCAAAATGAATCTGAAACTAATAATCTAATCTTCATAGACTAATTAAGAAACTAAAGCTTTTAGCTAATAATTAAAATGTCTTAATGCACGTATGACAAAGCATGGCAATATATGTATTAGGAAAAATCATTATATCTGAATTTTCTCGATTTCTCTGTAGATTTCAGAGCATGATTCTACAGATTTTTTTGCTAGACATATAATTTTTATACAGTAATGCTTGAATAAAATTGTCAATATACAAGGCAAAATTTTATATGTTAATTGTACAATGTGCCCACAAAGACACCAATACACCTGTATGGTTTCCTCTAGGAGTGGCCTGGAATTTCTGAAAAATTTCACAGGTTCCTTCACTAAATACCCAGACACAATAGTGCACCATTTACGTCCCAGGCATTTGCTCTGCAATCCTTTGTCTCACAATGGCAGTTACTTGCTATCTCTCTCAAGTTTTTAAAAAAATGTATGTTTTTAATTGATTTTTTTATTTTTTAGGGAGAGAAAGGGGGAGGGATAGAAAGACAGACACATCAATGCAAGAGAAACATCCATTGGCTACCTCTTGTATGCCTTCTACTGGGGATCAAGCCAGCAACCCGGGCATGCACCCTGACCGGGAATCAAACCAGGGACCTCTTGGTTCATGGCTTGACTTTCCACCACTGAGCCACACCAGCTGGGCTCACTTAAGCTTTTTACACTCCAAGAAGGGATAACTGTCCTGCTCAACTTTATCAAGTCAATAAATATGCAAGACCTAAAATAGGAGTTAAACAGCTGTGCCTCTGATAGAACAAGGAGGTGAATGGATAAGAAAACCAATTTTTTTCTCATGAGATAACTTCACCTTTGTCAAATAGGGTAAATCCATTATAAACATAATTAAAAGAACACAAAAAACTGGGCAAAGTTAAAAAAACGAGTGTGTGGTGTTTTTTTAAGCATTCAGAATTTCTTTAACTTCTACCTGATCATCCAGTGGTAACTCGCAGAAGGCAGGGATATATTTTGCCCATTCAACCAAGACCAAGAGCTGCTGTTTCATAGATTCACAGACATCACCAATGTTTGCAATTTTCTTCACATTTATGTCTGTGCTCACACCAGGGCTTGAGGCTGACATCTAGCATGAACAAGAACATTATGTTAACTTCTCATTGAAAACAAGACATAACCAATACTCCTCTTTTCTCTATGAATGCCATTGAAGTGGCGCTATCATTGTCACAGTATCTTGAAATATGCTAAATATTTTTAAATTGAGAACTGAAATACCTTTCAGTACAAGTTTAATTGAAAACATTCCCTGCATAGCACATACTGTGGGAGCACTATCTTATTTTAATAAACACAATTGTAGAAAAAGTTACCCAACTTTTGGGGAGTGCCATAATCTAAACTGACTATACAAAGAAATAACAGAGTATTTATATGAAATATGCTATGTGGTTTCCTTTTTCATTAAAAAGTGATATTTCCATTAAGAAAAATCCATCTTTAATTTGTTGAAAATATTTATAGTGGATAAAGTTTAACAAACTGGGAGAAAGGATTTAGATGAGAAAGAAGACGATGTATGTTCTGCACTAAATAGAAACCCATAGAAATCAAATCAAGAAACCAACCTTTGACTTAGCTTAATCTAATAACAATTTTTACAACTCTGTAGGATTTTGAACTCTATAAAAATATAAGTGGCTTCAAAATGCCCTTCTGCTGAAGAAGTGACTTTCTGAAAGTTATGAACTTTTCTGCACTTTCTAAATGTGTGTGTACGTGTCTTTCTGTAGTGCGTGTGCCCTTCCTCACACCTCCCCGTAAGCCATTCTCTAAGCACTTTATAGGCCATCAGGTAATCTGCAAGCCATGCTGATGATCACAGTGAGGTTAACCTCATCGTACTACCCTTGTGTTATCAAAAACGAAAGTAGTTGCACTGACTCATTATAGAGCTGGATTAATAGTTAGCTATTTCATAATTTGCTTTATAATAGAAAAAATATCACTAACATTTCTAATAGAAGCAATGTTAAAATAAACTGTCCGAAAGGGTCTGTTTAGTTGATTCTAAAGCCACTGTTACTTATGTAGATAACTAATGTCCTATGTAAAACTTTAGAACTGATATTCTCACGCTAGAAACTTCAACTTTCTCTTGCGCTTTTCAAAATCTGGCTCTTCCCTTAAAACACCTATTTCCAAAGCAGGTGCCAAGGTGAGTTCTTGAGTCTAGAAACTGTTTGTAAGGAAAGAAGCTCTGATGATCCGTCTCAACCAAATTCCCCAAAAGTTGTGATAACTGATTTTACACATTCAACCAAGAAAACGAGATTCTCCCCCCAGAGCACTGTGCCACACATGAAGTATTTCAAATGAACTTTGTAAACAAATGTATATTTTACAACCCTCCACTGAAATACACTTCATTGTCCCATTCATAAATAGGAACTGGTCCAGAATACATCACAGTGAAGTCAACAGTCCGACCAATATTTTCAAAGTAAAACTCTTGAATTTGCATAAACATGATTTAGGTTAGTAATGAGCACATTTGAAAAAAGTTAGATTATTTCAGCATTACACCTAAACAGCCATTTGATTCTATAAGCAGGGCGGGGTGTTAGTGCATTTGAGTCTATAAGCGGGTGGGATGCTAGTGCGAGGTGGGTACCTGGCGAGACCGCATTTCTGCCTGTGCCAGCGTGTTAATGGAGGGGATGTTGGTGCCATCAAAAGTGCTTCTTCGGGTGCTGATTCGATCACGTTCATTCTGCACAGCTAGGGGAGAAAAATCACAATGTCTATTGGTTGCTTCTCTTCACTACGTGTCACAAAATAAAATATGGAAAGTGAGAAGGGATGTTTCTAAAACACCTGGGAAAGTAGAGAAGTGTGACTGAAGACACTTCTCATTCTGTGTCACCTTTAAAGACAGAGCCAGGCTTGTCACTTGAGCTCAAAAAATATTGCCTGTTGGGATTTCATGATGGCATGCATGTTAGAAAGTGCTGGGTCAGCCAGTTCAGGCATGCTGTATTTCAGTAAGATGGTTTTCCAAACTCTTAAAGTTAATAAAACCGTGAGGTAACTGGAGGAAGAGTACCTATCGCCCATGAGATTGACTAGGTCAAAGAGAAGAGTGTATTCACTATCAGAGATATGAGTCAAGTGGAAACCTCCATTTTATTCTAAGTCATGAGCAAAAGTGGAAAGAAAATTTAGTTTAGTTGTGGTGGTTTTAAGATTGCAATCTTATGATCTCTTAGGAAACAATGTTCTTAGAAAAGTTTACAACATGAATCAAGCCAAAGGCACAGCAGGTAGGACGTCTCTCCTGAGAAGACTGAGGCTGGAAACGCAGCACTTGGGAAGGTGAAAACCCCCCCTATTATATAGAAAAGACTTCTAAGAGAGAGCTAGATCAACCTTTTCTCAGTAGAGGGAGAAAGAAAAATGTGTATCCCCAAATTCCTTATTGAAAACTAAAATTTTCAATAAAATTTCCTAAAACTAAAAAGGATGAATAAGAGGGGTTTGACTTGTGTATTTGTCACATAAAGAGGAACAGAGGTCACATGTTAAAAGTTGGATTTCAAAACTTAGGAGGTTTTGAAATTATCTCTGTTAACCAAAAAGGATGGAAACAAGTCCTGTAGCCCCTAAATTATTTAAGTTAATGCTCTGCCCTGTTGTGCTGGGAGGATAAAACATTGAACTATCATAATTTTTAATGCAGTTATTTTTTTTTTATTTAAAAAACTCACTAATTTCTGCCCAGCCAATGTGACTCAGTGGTTGAGTGTCCACTCATGACCCAAGGGATCACCAGTTCGATTCCTGGTCTGGGCACATGCCCGGGTTGAGGGCTCAATCCCTATGTTTCTCTCTCATTGATGTTTCTATCTCTTTCTTTCTCTCCCTTCCTCTCTCTCTCTAAAATTATATTTATAATAAACAACTTTATATTTTAAAAATTCATGAATTTCTATGCTAAAATCTACTATCTATCCAAAACATACTATTAACTATCAACTCATTAATTTGGAAGAGAAAACACTGAACTTTTTGCCTTTAAGAGTGAGTAGATTTTAAGTTGGAATAAATCAATAATATTTTATTTTAAAATCTTATTTACTGGTACTTATCCTTCTCTTTTTTTCATTTCTTTCTCTCTCTCTCTCTCTTTTTTTTTTTGCAGAAATTGTCATTGACTTTCAGCCTAAACTAATGAAATACATTTATGGAGATAAAAATAAAAATGTAAGTTATGCTTTTATGAATTGAACTTACATTATTAATCTTTAAAAAAAAAATGCTAAAATATATCATGGACATTTGTAACCTTCCTACTGCTAAAGTTTTCAACAGAAAACCATGTTTATATACATTTCCACCTTAAACTGGATATGATGCTATCATCGTAAATAAGGGAAATATAACCACGCTAAAATCCAAAAGTTACTTCCTAATGTATTTAGAAAATACTAATGTATTATTCTGTGAATAGTAGATGATATAATTTCACTATTTTAAAAAATAATTCATATAAAAAAGGGTAAAACTCTTAAAGGAAATAAAGGATGGTGATCTGTAAGTGGAGATGGATGAAAATGATGGGAAAAGTATGTAATCAACCCATAAACTATCTGATATGCCACTAGATATAAACTATTTTTTAAAACAGTTTATTGATTTTTAGAGAGAAGGGAAAGGAGAAGAGAGAAACATTGATGTGGATCGATGCCTCCTACACACCTCCTACCAGGGACCGAGCCTGCAACCTGGGCATGTGCCCTGACCTGGAATAGAACCAATAACCTTTTGGTGCAGAGGACGATGCCCAACCAATTCAGTCACACCGGCCAGGGCAGGCATAAGTCATTTCTAAATAGGAAAGTGCCTCTCCTTTAACTCTGGGAACTTTCATCCGCCTTCTTTTTTGAGACTAGCAACCTGAACAAAACTATTGAAACTTTGGTCTCTTTAAAATATTGAGTGTCAAAAGAATAAACTAGCTATGTTCAAGACAGGTTTGATATATCTTACATTTCTAAAGAATACCGATTTCATTCCATTGATTGCTTAATAGTTTGTGAAATAGTTCTGAAAACTATCTCTGTGTATATGACCGGCACAGGAATGTGGAAAAAACTGATATGCATAAATCTTAATAGTGACTATTCCCTGCCAAACGTTTAAACGTGTTCAATACCTTTCTAAATTAACCTTAGTTAGGATGTAGGATAATATAACCAGATTATTTAATATGTTCAGAATGAAATTGTTCACACTAAAATAGAGTATTTATTCAATGTCTCTGTTCCTCAATAGAAGATAAGCTCCAAGAGGGGGAGAAATATTCTATTATGTTAACTACTGAAACCTCAGCACCCAGAACAGTGTTGGGAAAGTAGCAGTGCTCAATAAATATTTGTTAAATAAATACATGAATGCATGCACAGTCCTTGTTCAGTTAATGTTTATAAAATAAAGGTATTCAATCTTTTTAACAGTAAAAATGTGCTTAAAAATAGTTATAATTTCAACTGATTAATAGATATTGGCCATCTATTTTTTGAACAGGATGTTGGAATGTTACTTAGACAACAGTTTTGTTGACAGGTGTAACAGCAATAAAAAATGGCATCTGGCTTAGTCATCAGAGAGAGACTGGGTGTCAGTTCCTCGGGTAAATCCTTAAACTCAAGGAACCACAGATTCTTCATTAAGAAAAATCAGAACTCATGTGAAAATGTTATTATGATGAAATGAGAACTTGTGTATAACACTCTTCATTGATAGTATTAAATATCATTAGTATGTTATATCTTACCTTCTTTCTTCATTCCTGCTCTAAAACACTTTCTTAATCGACAATATCTGCATTGATTTCTTTTGTCCTTGTCAACAACACATTGCCGACTGAACCTATAATATTAAAAAAAAAGATGTATTAATTTTTCAGATAATTATTTATGGAAAGAAGCAAAGAAACAGACTTTAAATAAGTATGCCTAAATATGGCCCAATAGAAAGAATGTATAAGAACAATTAATTGAACACTCATATATAATTCAAAAACAAAACAAAACAAAAAAAGAACAATAAACTGACTTTTCCAGATTGTGAACATTTGTAGCTTTCCTCCTGCTATCATTTCTAACATAAAACCATGGTCAGCACATACATGGGAACACAAGCCTCACCTCCCATGTAGCCTTTAGAATAAAATAAAACTGAATGACAGTGCGCACGGTCATTTCTGTCATGAGTCATGAAAGCCAAACCTAGTTTAAGCATCTTTGACATATAAATCTCAATTGCCTGTTGCTAAAGGTTTTCGGTGTAATGGAGACTGTATCAGAACTTCCTTCCTTTGCACTTTCATGCTTTTCTCATTGTAAATATTTTTCAACTTATTTTAAATGTGCTTCACATCCAATTAAAGTTTACTCTAAATAGATGCCCAATTTCACGCCAAGAACAGCATTGAGTAGTTTCTGCACAATTAGATGTCACCTGACATCCACTAAAATGCCTCTAATCAGGAAAAAAAACCAAACAGACAATACCAGTGTTGATGAGGATGCATAAAAATTGGAACTTTCCCACATCACTGGTCATAATATAAAACGCTGCAGCTGCTTAGGAAGAAAGTTTGGCAGCTTTTTAAAAAGTTAAACGTAGAGCTATCATATGATCCAGCAATTCCACTCCTAGGTATCAACCCAAAAGAAAGAAGCCATATGTTCACACACAAACTTGTACACAAGTGTCCACAGCAGCATTATCTTAATAGCTAAAAGGTGAGGACAACCCTAAAGCCCATCAGTTGATGAATAGATACCTAAAATGTGGTTCCCACACACAATGGATATGATAAATAACAATGAACAGGAATGGAGTTCCCATACATGCTAGGACTTAGCTGAACCTTGACTATTTTAAATGAAAGAAGTCAGACACAAAAGGCCACATAGTATATAATTTCACTTATATCAAATGTCCAGAAGAGGCAAATGTGTGGACACAGAAAATAGACTAGTTTGTGCTTCATATCGGTGGAGAGGAAGTTGGTGGGAAAGGGTAGTGACTGCTAAAGGTAAGAGGTTTCTTTATAGGATGATGAAAATGTTCTAAATCGACTGTAGTGATGATTGCAACTCTGGACATACTAAAAAAAAAACTGAAATGTGCACTTAAAAAAAAGGAGTACCATTTCTGGAATTAGACCTGAAGCTTGATTCCCAGGTCCACCATTCTTAATAGGATTTGGCAATGTAATTGAACACCCACTCACACTCACCCCAGTTAATTTACAATTGTAAGATAGGGAGGGCTTGCTGTAAAAGATTGTTATGTGAATGTACTTTAAAGACTTTGGGACAAATATTAAACATATAGTAAGCAATAACATTTCTTTAAAATTCTGGCTTAATATTATCCATATGTATATCCCTGACTACTTGTGGTTGATTAGTAACGATGAGAATAAAATAATATATTTTGTGACCTATATAAAATATTTCTTCTAGAAAATATGAATGGCTACTAAATATGAAAAGAATATAAAGCCTATTATAGATGAACTGAGCTGGAAGAGAGACATACTTCCTGGATGAGGAAAAAAATCATTGTTCATTTGAGAATACATGGCTGAGGAGATTCAAGAGAGAGGGCCAGGTTACCAACAATTACAGCAGGAGAACACATTCAATTAACATTAAACTAATGCAAAATGGAATACATATGTATTAAGCACCTACTGTGTATAAGATCCTGGCGTAGGGATTAAACAGAGAAATGTTATCTATCTCTTCCACTCAATGAAACTATAATCTAGTAGGGTACACATACAAGTTTACAGACAACCATAATAAATAACCTAATGTGAGAAGTGTTGAGACAGTAATTTAAAGAGCTTGAAAGGGCAAAGCCAACTTCAGTGTGAAGAGTTAGAGTGAAAATGAAATTAGTAAATCTAAGAGAACGGATAAATTTAAAACCAGCAAAATGTGAGTTTTAAGAAAACCTTTATGATCCTAAATTTGTATCAATATAACAATTTTCCAAATGGAGAATTGTAGCATTTGCTTAAGAGCAAAATATGTAAAGAAGGCCAAGGTGGTAGCAATACTCATGAAGGGAAAGTGTGAGTCAACTCTACATGTTGGTGGAATCTTTTCTGAATTTCTGAAAGTTGCTATGGTGACACTCCTTTCCTACTTTTCTCAGATAGGAAGCATGGAAATCTTGAAAGCCCTTTATGCTGCTGATAGACTCTGATTCTTAAAAGTTTTTGATGGATTTTGTTGTTTGGATTGTTATTGTTCCTATCTATGGATTTCACCTTTAACAGAACACCTAACTCAAAAAAGTACTGTTTACCTGTTATTTTGTATTTATTTTTGTTGATGACTTTGGAACTCTACATTGGTCTACATTTTATCTTTGGAGTTTTGCTGTTTATAAAAGCAAGATCTATCTAAATATTATTTTTTGTTTACCAAAAAGGTGTTAAAGTGAATGATTTACATTTTTTTTACATACTAAGGTTTCCTGGAAAAATTACTAGAAAATACCAGTTAAATATTTGGAGAGTTATGTATTAACTTTTCCACGCCCTTGGAAATCAAATGGCATCACACTGGAAAAGAATTAACTTCTTCCCAGGCACAATCTGCACTCAAGAACTGTCATTCTGAACACTCACTGTGACATATCTAACCCTCAATTGTGCTATGACATTGACTAGATATTCAAACAGAAAAGCCAGCCTACTAGAAATGATAAAATGTTAAATTTAATGGCAAAACTGTGGCACAAGAAATAGATTTAAAATTTTAGAACTGAAAATATAAATTCATCCATTAGCTTAAAAAAGCTAAAAAAAATGCTACCAAAGTCATCCGTACTTTTATAATTTTGTTTGAAAAAACTCAAGATACAATGATGCTTAAAAGAATACCAATACTTCAAAAAGGATGCAAACTGTGAAGCCACTGAAATGCAGATTTAAGTATGCCTATTGGCATATGAACATGTGGTAAAACAATAAAGAAATAACAGGAAAAGACAGGACACTTCCGACAACAGTCACCTCTGGGAGAGAGGGGAGAAAGAGAAAGCCTTCAGGGGAGGTGTCCACCAGGCTCCAACTATGTTGGTCTAAGTTGAGTGATAAGTATGTGGAATTTTTTATACACGTTGTAATAACTCTGGACATTTCATAAAAGAGAACCACCTTGGTGAACGCGCGTCCTGCTCACACACCCAAACATCCTCATTGTTAAAGCAGCTTACAGACTGTGCTCCAAGGGCTACAGAAATAGAAAAGCTCTGAATTGTGTTCCCTTCTTGCATGCCTTTTGAAACACCTGTGCAGATGCCTTTGCTAAAAGGAGCGTTTCAGGTACCTGCACGAATACACGTGGCTCTTGCGAATGCTGCGTCTGAAGAAGCCCTTGCACCCATCACAGCTGGACGCTCCGTAGTGCTTCCCTGTGGCTCTGTCCCCGCATATGGCACACAGACAGTTGACCCCATTGTCTGCGGTATTCATACTTGTCGTCTCTGGGGCAGAACTATCTGTTCAAAAAAAGGGGGTGGAGTAGAGTTTGAGTCAGTATTGAGTCTTTCTAGTTAAATCACCCAACTAAATATTCAGAGGCTTGAAACAGTCCACTCTAGGCTTCTTGGAGGCCCCACAAACTGCTTCCTTTGAACCAATGGCTGTTTCTGCCAGTCTTCATCCATTCTCCCCTCTGACTATTAAATATTGGGACACTACAGGGCTCAGTCCCCCAACCACACTCTTTTTCAAGGGCAGCTTATCTAGTCCCACAACATTACATATTATCTGCATGATTAACAGACCCAAATTTTATCTCCAGCCCCAATGTCTCCCACAGGCATCAGGCTGAAATGCCCAAATACCTATTTAACAACTTTACTTTGACATTTAAGAGGAATTTTAAATTAATGTATAAAAACAGAACACCTTGATTTTCCTTCTAGAACATGTTCTTCCTTCAGTCTTCCATGTAGGTCTATAGTACAATCCAGAACCTAAGGCCAATAACCTACGAGTCTTCAATGGATTCTCTCCTTATCACTCATACCCAATCCAATAGTAAAGTCTGTATTTAAAATACTTAGAGAATCCATAACTTTTCTCCTTTTCACAATGGCCACCCTTATCCAATTGACTGTAATCATTCCCCTGGGTCATTGCAATAGCCTTCTGTCCAAGTTCTCTCCTTTCATCCTTGCTCTCTACTGTTCATTACTCCAAAGCCCCACAGCGCACCTGGTATAAGAAAGCCACATCTTACCAGCCTTCTGCATCCAAATCTTAGATACAGGTAAGTAACATCGTGACTTCTGAAGCTCCATGGATAGAGACCCTCCCACCTCTCCCATTCCACCATCTAGTACTATCTATTTTTCACCCTGTTCACTGTGAACAGCAAGGTGGCCTTTTTTCTCCCCGAAGTCTTTTTCTATCTCAGAGCCTTTACACTTGCTATTCCTTCTGCCTGGAAGGAAGTTCTTCCTCACAAATATCTTCCAACCGGTTTTCCAGTTTCTGTTCTACTCGCTCATTTTCTGTGAAATATTCTCTGAACCTCCCAGAGTCACTTCCCATCTTCCCTTCAAGTAGAACCTAGAACTCTGATTATTTAAAAATAATAAAAATAACAATTGATTTATTGTCTTAAATTATATTCTGTAATGGTCTGCCCATTTATTATCCATCTCTGTCTGTAGAATACAAACTTTGTGATGGCAGAGCATTTATCTGTCTCATTCACTGTCTCTAGCTCTAAGAACTGTGCCTGGCATAAAGTGGGATCTACTATATAGTTATGAAGAAATAGGCTTTAAAAATCCACAGATGATTTTACTTAAGTACTTAAATGAGTTAATGTTGTTGACTACATCTTTAAAAATCTGTATGTACTCTTCCTGGTCTGTGTGGCTCAGTTAGTTGCACATTGTCCCAGTCAGGACACATGCATGCGTTGCTGGCTCAATCCTGTGAGGGTGTGTATAGGAGGCAGCCAATCAATGTTTCTCTCTTCCTCTCTCTCTCCCTTCCTCTCTCTCTAAATAACAACAAAAAATCTATTTTTTAAAAAAAAACACACTACATGGGGCTTAAAAAATCTGTATGTACTTAAAAGATACTGAATATATAAGGTAATATTTTTAATTTATATAATTGTATAATATTAACATAACAATTCATTATTATATCTCCAAAATAACAAAAGATAAAATGAATGGTTGTCATGTCCCAAGTACATTCTGTAACAACATATATTTTCCACTTACTAATATTTCTGAGTAGACAGATATAACCTATATATATAAAAGCCTAAGCAACTGCTATGACAGAACGACCAAATGACCAGTCGCTATGATGCGCACTGACCATCAGGGGGCAGACACTCAATGCAGGAGCTGCCTGCCCCCAGCCTGCAGGCCCCAATCACCAATGGGGCCTGCTGGCCAACATCCTGGTCCCTCCCCCCGCTGGGCCCCCAGGCTGGGATGGGGATCTGGGGGTGGGTGGTGTCGGACGCAGCCCCTTTCCCAGGGAGGCTGAGGGCCAGCTCCCTCCTTGGGGCCGGTGGCCAACCTCCCAGGTCCCTCCCACCAGCCGGCAGGTCCTGATCAGCAGATCAGGACCGGATCCTGGGCTGGGACGGGGAACCAGGGGTGGGTGGCGGGCCAACTCAGGTGGTGAGGGAAGAAGCTGGGAGGCGGGGAGGCAGGGAACTGTGCAGTGGCGGCGAGAGAAGGAGGAGGCGAGGAACCTGATTGATCCTGATTGCAGGCCAGGCCTAGGGACCCCACCCGTGCATGAATTTCGTGCACTGGGCTTCTAGTTATGTATAATTTCATCAAGTTAAAAAAATAATAAGAACATGCTTAAGGTTAACCATGTGACTTATAGTTCTCAAATGTAAGAATTTTTCTTTTTGTAACATAAACAAAATAGATACTAGAAATAGGCAGCTAGAAGTATTTTAGAATTGACAGCATTCTATGATTATATGAAAATACAAAAAAATTCAACACTCATCATTGTCTTAGAGACACACATCCAAGGCCTCCACAAGCCCGGGCTGTGTGAGGGCTGCCAGGCGGTCAATAGGCGAGTGATAACCCCAAGTGAACTGTAACTTAGTGACTCGAGAGCAGCTGTGGGCGGAGCCTAAAGCTGTGAGCTCCTTCCGCAGCTTTAAGTTTAATGTCATATTCATATGTTATTAACAACATTACTAGAAAAAAGTCCAAAAACATTTTGAAAAGTCAATTATTTTAGTAAATACTTATGGTATGCCTATCTCTACTATTAGCAATCGATAGTCTTTTTTTAAAAATCATGATTCTACTGAAATAAATAATACTCTGTTAAATATCTCTCATCAAATCTAAACATAAGGAACCTAAACAGTGACTTTCTAAGATTTGCACTATTGGTTCATTTTAACTCTCTTTGTGCTAAAATTTCAGAATTATTCTTCTGACAATTTGTAATACTTGTTCCACCAATAATACAACATGGAAGAACATTAAGATAATCTGAGCATGTTACATTCTCAATTCTGAATTAAACACACAGACACACACAGACACACACACATTTTCCACACTACACACAATTACTAGGTTTTAAGAGTTATATCAATTATAACTGATCTTAGACAATATTTTTACTTAAAAAATAAATTTAAAGTCAATGGTAAGCTGTATTATAAAAAGACCTGAACCCTAAACAACTCATGTCTTATTTAAAGTTAAAATGTTACAGTAGATGCATACCAAGAGCTTTTGAAGCTAAACATTAGCTTGTCAAGTGGGGTTATAATATAAACCTTTATTTCCTTTCATATTTGTGTGAAATGAAAAAACTTGGTAGTGATTTTCAATGCAGTTTCTCACTGGCAGCAATGAGAACTGGAATAATGAAGTAGGGGGCAACTAGGAAAACTGTCCAGTGTTCTATGGAAACTCTGTCCTATTTGTCATCTAAATGCTGCCTAGAAAATATACTTTACAGCCAATGTTACTTATTACTGTGATTTACAGTAAACAAAATAACTCTTTTTACCTAACTGGGCCATGACAGAATTCTGAGGTTACTTTATTAAGCATAGCTGGCTTTTTCTATCACAAACATGAAATGGGCAGAGCATTATTAATTTAAAATTTGTGATGAAGTCCAGAAGCTCAGATGTATGGCTTTAAAATGTGAGTCCCAATCTATCTCGCAGTAAAGCCTGGGACTACCACCCTGGGAAGCTCAGACTTCTCCCACTATACTTACTTAAAAATATATATTTATAAGCAGATGAGAACTCACCATTTGAATTATACAGAATCTGCATGGTTTCAAACTCCAAGGTTGTATACGTTGGGTCCAAAACTTCACTGTAATTTGCCATATCCATGTCCAGGATCGGTTCCGATACCCTCATCATTGACTTAGAGACACACATCCAAGGCCTCCACGAGCCCGGGCTGTGTGAGGGCTGCCAGGGCTTCAATCTGCGAGTGATATCCCCAAGTTAACTGTAACTGAGTGACTCAAGAGCGGCTGTGGGCGGAGCTGTAAAGCTGTAAGCTCCTTCAGCAGGCCAGCTCGGCTCCTGGCTTCTTACTTTATGGCATACGAAAGCAATTTCCTGTGATAATCTTGGAATGTTGCATGAAATCACCTTACCTGAAGTGCTTAGTGGACTAACTTGATTTCCTAGATTGATTTCCAGTAGATAATAAATGATGTCATGAAGAGATTCAACATAGAAAAGAGAATCGAGTGTCAGGTTTTAAATTGTAATTGAACCAAGATTTATCTTATTGAAGGGGCTGAAATCACATACTACATGTTCCCAAAGATGGGACTTTACCGCTGTAAATGTGATAAGTCACAATGCTAAGTTAACACTTAACATAAGCTCTTAACAATTTCAAGTGTTCTTACCCATACAGTAAAGCTAACTTTGTTTATGTTGTAATAAAACAAGCTTGTAATTTGAAATGACAGGGATTTAAGATATACTTCAGTAGGAACCGGGCATAACCTTAATAAGGCCTTTAACATATTCTCTCTAACTATCAATGTATGAGTCTGTGTCCCTTGGGTGTTTGCAAACCTCCCAAGGGCAGAAGCATTGAATAAATAATTGTAACATGAATAAGGTTCCATTTCTTTAGACTTCTGATGCCTATTATATTCTAGGTATTAACCTGAAATGAAGCCTTCCCTCACCAGTGTGGATCTACACAATCTCACCACCAGCCCTCTATATCTAACTTCCGTATAGCACCCAATATCTTTTATGTGTATATGTGACAAAGAGCATTTAGAAGATAGTATTCAATGATTATATTTTACTTCTGAGAATACACTTATTAATTTTATCTTCTAAGAAAAAGTTCCACCCACGGTTACACTATGAAGTCAGAATTTCATTTCTACATTTGTTAAAGATTACTATAAGGTACTATTTCTTACTCAATTTTTTAAAACCATAAAACTTGTAAATAAATTAGTAAAGAAATTATTGTACTCTTCACCTGGGCAGGCTAGGCTGGCCTCTTAAACTCAAAACTACATGAAGAATTGTGAAGACAATGGCAGAGTCACCTTAGCCGCAAGTCACTGAATCAAACAGTGATGCCGAAATAGCCCTCTGGCCTTCATATTCTGTAGTCTCTTAATAGTGAGAATAGTATTTGCAGGATACATTTTATGGGCTGATTTTCTTTAGTGAAGGCTAACTGTACTAGTAGTTATTCAGTTTTTGGACAAGTAGACAGCAAGAAAATCCTGTGGCTTTCATGTGCATGAAGTGGTTCTCATTTGTGGTGAACTTACACAAAAGTGCTTCCATTGTGAACCAAAGGATTGAATTGTGTGCACTCTCTTGTCTAGGTAGTAATTCACTAGTGCTGAGAGATGTCACCAATGGGAGTGTTGCAACAGAAGGAAAGGAAGAAAAATATAAGGCAGAGAGTCCAGCCTGTGTGGCTAGATGGTTGAATGTTAACCTGTGAACTGGGAGATGGGTCGGCAATCGGTCTTGGCAAGGTTTGTAGCTTGATCCCCGGTAGGGAAGGGCATGGGAAGGCAGTTGATCAATGATTCTCTCTCATCATTGATGTTCATATCTCTCCCTCTCCCTTCCTCTCAAAACTCAATAAAATATAATTAAAAATATATATAAGGCAGAGAACCATTCATTTTTTCCTTTTTATTGAACTTATTGGGGTTGATACTGGTTAACAAAATTATACGGGTTTCAGGTACACAATTCCACAACACATCACCTGTACACTGTATTGTGTATTCACCATCCCATCAAGTTACCTTTGAGAACAATATATAATAATAAAAGCTTAATATGCTAATTAGACCAGACAGCCAAATGACCTCCGGATATCATTCTGGATGTCCTTCTGGACAAAGCTGTGGCAGCGGGGGCTGAGGCAGAGGCAGTTAGGGCGATCAGGCAGGCAGGCAGAGTGATTAGGAGCAGTCAGGCAGGCAGGCAGAGGCAGTTAGGGGTGATCAGGCAGGCAGACAGAGTGGTTAGGGGCCATCAGGCAGGCAGGCAGAAGTGGTTAGGGGTGATCAGGCAGGCATGCAGAGTGGTTAGGGGTGATCAGGCAGGCAGAGGCAGTTAGGGGTGATCAGGCAGGCAGACAGAGTGGTTAGCGGCCATCAGGCAGGCAGGCAGAAGTGGTTAGGGGTGATCAGGCAGGCAGAGGCAGTTAGGGGTGATCAGGTAGGCATGCAGAGTGGTTAGGGGCAATCAGGCAGACAGGCAGAGGTGGTTAGGGGCGATGAGGCAGGCAGACAGAGTGGTTAGGGGCCATCAGGCAGGCAGGCAGAAGTGGTTAGGGGCGATCAGGCAGGCAGAGGCAGTTAGGGGTGATCAGGTAGGCATGCAGAGTGGTTAGGGGCAATCAGGCAGACAGGCAGAGGTGGTTAGGGGTGATGAGGCAGGCAGGCAGAGTGGTTAGGGGCAATGAGGCAGGCAGGCAGGGTGGTTAAGGGCCATCAGAAAGTCAGGAAGGCCAGCGGTTAGTATCCAGCAGTCCCGGATTATGAGAGGAATGTCCGACTGCCATGGGATCAGGCCTAAACAAGCAGTTGGACATCCCCCGAGGGGTCTTGGATTGCGAGAGGGTGCAGGCCGGGCTGAGTAACCCCCCCTCCTCCCATGCTTGAATTTCATGTACTGGGCCTCTAGTCTATAGAGGCTAATATGCAAAGTGTCCCCTCGGGAGTTCAACCAGAACAGGAGTTCGATCACTCATATGATGTGCGCTGACCACCATGGGGTGGCACGAAATATGGCAGGCAACCAGCAGCAGTGGGGCGCTGAGGGAGTGAGGGAAGGAAGAGACAGGGAGGGGGGACAGCGGGGGGGGGGGGGACCACACGGTGGTAGTGAGCAAGTGGTGAGGGAAGGAGGAGGCAGGGAGGCGGGGAACCTGATCAGTCCTGATCACCAGCCAGGCCAAGGGTCCCTACCCGTGCAGGATTTTCATGCACCAGGCCTCTAGTTCATTTATAAGATTGCAAAACACTAGAAAAATGTGGATGCACTAATCCCTCCTTATCTGTGGGTCATTTATTCTATGAACCACCCCCGCCCCCAGTGGATGCCTGAAACTGTAGATAGTGTTGAACCCTATATAATACTATGTTCTTTCCTATACATATATACCTATGATCAAGTTTAATTTATAAATTGGGCCCAGTCAGAGATGAACAATAACTAATAATAAAATAGAACAATTATAACAATATACTATAGTAGTTATGTGAATGGCAATGGGCCCATCATCAAATAAAATGAGGGTTACTCAAAGACAAGCAATCGGATACCATGGCAGTCAATCTGATCACCAGGACAGTTACTACATGACTAACTAGATGCTGGGCAAAGACAGAGCAGGAAGGCAGGATCAAAACAGCATGGTTTAAAACATGATTTTTTTTTTTACTTCTTGAATTTTCTTTTTTATATTTTCAGACTGAGAGTAACTAAAACCGTGAAAAGCAAAACCATGGGTAAGGGGGCGGGGGCTATGTAAAGCTCAGGAGAACAACGCTGTCACAATGTTATTGTTCCACCTCATCCCATGCCCATGGGCAGAATCACTATGGGCATGGCATTCCACTCACGGTTCATCTTGGCACAGTGGCCAAATGTAGCCACTAGCAATTAAAGCTGCCTTTTAAGATGAAATCTGCTTGCCATTCATGTTACTGTTATTATTTTCTTCATTTTATAGAGTAAAAACTGGAGAATTTCCAGAAAATACTGAAGATCCAAATAGCAGGCATATCTCCTCAAGTGGACAGTTTGTCTTTTTAATGATATTGAGATCTGGACACACACACAGAATCCAGTCAGCTTCCATCTAGTAAAGGAAAGATTCTCTTGGCCCCCAGCCTGCCTCCCCAACCGCCATCAAATAAATTACAAGGTACAGAAGTCCTCTTTCTCTTAAATTCTAGGATTTGTAATTTTACTTAACTGGTTAAGCCAATAATATAATTAAAATAGAGAATCACGGAAAAAACCAAGATGGTAGCATAGGTAAACACCGGAGATTGCTGCCTCGCACAACCACTTCAAAAATACAACTAAAAGACGGAATGGACATCATCCAGAACCACAGGAAGGCTGGCTGAGTGGAAATTCTACAACTGGAAGGAAAGAGAAAAGCATACCGAGACTCAGAGGAGGCGCAGTGCTGAAGTAAAATACAAAGGAGCGGAGGTGCATGCGGAGAGGGCTGGTAGCTGAGGACACGGTTGTCTTTTTCAATCGGGAGGGAGTCTCAAGCTCTGAGCTCCAGTTCCAGGTGAGTCTCTGGGGACCCAGACTCATATGGGAGGAATTGGACTGTCTGGCTTCGGTCGGAACTCGAGGGCAGCTTTCTCTCGGGGGTGCTTGCAGCGATTGCCGGGACACTGAGAAGCAAGGCCTCTGAGGGCAGGACTGAGAGCAGCCATAACTGCTCGCTCCGCCCTGTTGATCCCCTGGGACCTCGCCCCGCCCAAGCCATGCACGGAGGCTTTTGCATATGAAAGGCTTGGCCCTTTGCAATCTGATAATTACCTAACAAACTGCAGGTGGCCCAAGGCCCCAGGGCAACTTGCATTGCGGCCACAGCTGGCTTCTGCTGGATAGCCTCAGGCAGAGACTAGATTAGCACCTCCTTTGAGATCCAGGAGCCAGTGTGCCCAGTGGTCTGAGTGGGACCATCCAGATTGCAGCACCTTGGATCCATAAAGGACACACTCAAGGGGCAGACTCAATGAGCACCAAAGCCACACTGAAGCAAGTCTTGCCCCAGAAGGGTGTCTCCAGCACAGAAGTTCTCCCACTGCAGACACAGCTGATTCTCACAGCCAATTGGCCTGGAGGTCAATCCCTCCTACAACAATCAAGGCTTAACTACAACAAGACTATGCACAAAGCCCACAAAGGGGTGCACCAAGAGTGTCTACCTCAGGTAATTGGGGAGGCTGAGTTACTAGGCCCTATAGGACACCTAGCACAGAAAGCCACTCTATCAACACAGGGAAGCATATAAAATGGAGAGACAAAGAAACAGGACACAAATGACAGAAATGGAGGAAAGCAAACTACTGGATATAGAGTTCAAAAGCACACTTTTAAGGTTTTTCAAGAATTTTTCTGTCTCACAGCCAG